TTTGATTTCTTCTTTTCGGGAGTTATCTATATAGTTTGTTTCTCATTTCATAGGAGTCATAACCTACAGAAAACCGTTTTACCATCTACTAGGCATTAAATAGGGACTAAACGAATCCCTTCAGACTTATGTGCAACGCTTCAACCAGGAATCTTTGAAAGTGGAGAGTATTGATGACAAATTTGCCCTAACTACTTTCATGTCAGGATTCGGCCTTTAATCAAAGGATCTTCTCTTTTCAATCGCCAAGAACCCTCAAGCCATTATGACCGAGGTACTCACAAAGACCGAGAAGTACATCAATGGCGAGGAGGCTCTTCACCTAAAGGGAGGGGCATCATCTACAGGCAAAGGAGAAAAAGGAAAAGAGAGCGTAGCCCAAGGAAAGAAAGGAGACGCGATCGATCCCTGATGAGAGATCGATCTCCCAAAAGAGACAGAGAGCCTTTCCCAAAACGGAGGGGTAACGTCAAAGATCGCCTTGGACCTCTACTTCAGGAATTACAACTCAGTTATGTTCTAGCTCGGCTTCCGCCACTGAATATCTCCATCTCTCAGGTCCTTCATGAGGTCTAGAACGAGAGGTTTGTCAAGTGGCCGCCATGGATGAAATCCGATCCTAGGAGACGAGATCCCACCAAATACTGTAATTTCCACAAAGATACTGGTCATGAGACCGATGATTGCATTTAGCTAAAAAGGGAGATAGAGTACCTGATCTAGAGAGGCCATTTACGACACTATGTAGCTAGAGAAGGAAGAGAAAGGAATGATCGAAATAGAGAGAGAATCGAGTAGCCGTGCCGCCCCCACAATAGCACCAACAGGCCCTTGGCGAAATCAGGGTCATCTCAAGTGGCTTTGCAGGCAGAGGTGAGTCTATCTCAGCCAGGAAGGCACACGCCGAGAGGGTAAGGTCAGATGACCTTCGTGAGATACAAGCGGTTAGGAATGCCCCGCGTAGGGATGTATAAATAACTTTCTCAGATGTCGACCTAGATAGATATCAGCACCCCCATGATGATCCATTGGTGGTAAATGCCATTATCGCAAGTAAGGTTGTCCATCATGTGTTGATCGACAATGGGAGCTCAACAGATATCATCTTCATCTATACCTTTCATCAACTCGGAATAGACAAATCAAAGCTTGAACCAATAAGAACCCAGCTCCTAGGCTTCTCGGGAGAAAATGTCTGACCCATTTGGTCTATCCAGCTATTTCTTACCCTAGGGGACGACCCATGCCAAGTTATCACTATAGTTTACTTTTTGGTGGTGGACGCCCCTTCTGCCTACAATGTACTTCTCAGGAAGCCTTCACTCAACTCCACCAAAGCCATCCCATCGGCATATCACTTAGTTATGAAGTTCCTTACAAAAAACAGGGTTGGAGTGGTGTGAGGAGATTAACGCCTCGCCAAGGGATGCTATGTAGTGTCTATGAGATAGAGAGAAATAGAATATGTTCAGCTAGAGGACTTGGACATGAGGGACGAAGTGGAAACATGACCAACCCCCTCAGAGTAGTTGGAGCCTATACAGGTCGATGAAGTCCCCAGGCATGCAGTCTTTACAAGCTCTATGCTGCTCCAAGATATCAAAAACAAGCTCATTCTGTTCTTGAAAGAAAATGCCGACATGTTCGCTTGGAAATAGGAGGATATGGAAGAAATCGACCCACGAGTAATTATGCACCGGCTGAGTGTTGACCCGAACAACAAGCTGGTTAGGCAGAAGAGGAGAAGCGTTGCTCCAGAGAGACAGAAAGTGATCAACAAGGAGGTGGCCAAGCTACTGTGAGCAAAGGCAATCAGGGAGGTCGATTACCCGACCTGGTTGGCCAACGTGGTACTAGTCAAGAAGGTAAACGGGAAATGACAACTCTGAATAGATTTCACTGACCTCAACCGTGCCTTCCCTAAAGACAGCTTTCCCCTACCTAGGATCGACTTGATAGTCGACGCCACGGTTGGACATGAGCTTTTCAGCTTCATGGACGCCTTTTCGGATTACAACCAGATTAAGATGGATCCTAATGACCAGGAGAAGACCTCGTTCGTCACGGAGCAGGAAATTTTTTGTTATCAGGACATGTCATTCGAATTGAAAAATGTTGGAGCCACCTACCAAAGGTTGGTTAATCGGATGTTTCGAGAAAAACTTGGATCAACGATGAAAGTTTACATTAATGATATGCTGATTAAGTACCTCAAGTCTGAACTTCACGTCCAGCACCTGAGAGAGTCATTCGAGATCATACGCCAATACAAGATGAAACTGAACCCAGCTAAATGTGCCTTTGGAGTCTTAGCAGGAAAATTTCTAGGGTTCATACTGAATAGAGGGATTGAAGTGAACCCCGAGAAGATAAGAGTGGTTCTGGAAATGAAATCACCCACCAACACCCAAGAAGTGCAGCGCCTTACCAGGAGGATAACGACGCTCAATCGATTTGTCTCACGCTCCAATGACAACTGTCAGCCATTCTTCAAGGTTCTAAAGGCCGCCTTCCAATGGAACAAGAAATGTGAAGAAGCTTTTCAAGCCCTCAAGACCTATTTGACCTCACCAGCTGTACTGGTTAGTCCCCGGGAGGGAGAAGTCTTAACCCTTTATCTTGTCGTATCTGACTTTTCAGTCAGCGCCGCCTTGGTGAAAGACTGAGAAAGATCCTAGCAATCGATCTATTTTTGCAGCAAGGCCCTCAGGAGGCCGAAGAGAAGTATCCTAAGATGAAGAAGCTTGTCTTACCCTCCTCGTGAGGGATATAACCTAGAATACGCTCTGAGATTCAACGTCCAAGCCTCCAACAATTAGGCTGAATACGAGGCTCTTATAGCTGGCCTCAACTTAGCTTTATTGATGGAGGCGTAACAATTCACTATCCACAACGACTCACAGCTGGTGGTTAGACAAATGAAAGAAGAGTACGCAGCTCGGGATGACAAAATGGCCTTATATGTGAGAAAAATACAAAGTTTGCTGAGGAGATTTGTTATAGCCGACCTTGTCCAGGTACCAAGAGAAGCAAATTCCCAAGCCAATGCATTGGCCAATTTGGCTTTAGCTGCTCAGCACGACCTATCCGGTACAACTCCCATTGAGATTTTACTTGAACCTAGTGTCCAACCTGACGAAGACCAAGCCATGCTGGTTGAGGAGACAACTTCGTGGATGGACCTTATCATATCTTACCTACAGGATGGTCTCTTCCCAAATGACAAGAAAGAAGCAACAAAGTTGAAAAATAAAGTCGCGAGATTCACTATTGTGCAAGGTAAGTTATATAAAAGAGATTTTTCATTTCCATTAATGAGATGTGTTTTGGAAATGGAGGCATATTACATCCCAAGGGAAATCCACGGGGGCATATGTGAAAATCACATTGGAGCTCGAACCCTGGCCGCCAAGGTACTCAAGCAGGGATACTTTTGGTCCACGAATGACCAAAGACGTGAAGAAAATGGTAAAAAAGTGCCAGGCATGCCAGATTCACGAGAACCTACCATATCGTCCCATGGAGCAGCTCACACCTGTTGTCAATCCTTGGCCCTTCTAGCAGTGGGGGCTGGACATCTTAGGGCCCTTGCCAATTGGTGTCGGACCATGCAAATTTACCATAGTCGCAGTAGATTACTTCACAAAGTGGAAGGAAGCTGAAGTACTGACGAAGATAACTGAGCAAAAAGTTAGGAACGTCATTTGGAAGTCGATAATCTGTCGCTTTGGCATTCCCAAAGCCATAGTTTCAAATAATGGAAAGCAGTTCGACAATCTGGGGTTCACAGGATTTTGTGCGGAATTAAGAATCAAAACTACTTCTCGGCACCTACACACCCACAATCCAATGGGCAAGCAGAAGTTACCATACAAACCATTAAATTGGCATTGAAGACAAGGTTGGAAGCCTCTAAGTCATAATGGGTTGATTATCTCTCAACCGTGTTATGGGCTTATAGAACTACAATACGAATAGCAATGGGGGAGATCCCATTCAGCCTTGCTTATGGAACCGAAGCCATGGCGCTAGTCAAAGTCAGGTTGCGTTCAGCAAGAGCAGAACTCTTCAATCCCAAGCAGAATGAGAGATCCCTGCTCATCATCCTTGACCTCCTAGACAAGAAGAGAGACGAAGCACTATAACGGATATTTTCTTACCAAAGAAATACTGCTAGATACTATAACAGGTGAGTAAGGAAGAGAAACTTCAAGCCAGACAACTTGGTCCTTAAAAAATTGCTCCTAGCGAGACATTTCAAGCTCCCAAAGTTCTAGCCAAGACAAATTTGCACAGTATGAATCCAATAGTTCTTCAAAAGTCGCGAGCTCTTCAGTTGTGCAAAATTGACTAGACTTTTTAGCCTAAGAGCTTTTTCAAGGTTGGAAGAGAGCTTTTCAGCTTGAAAATCCGCGAGCTCTTCAGCTGCACAAAATTGACTATGTTTTTTAGTCTAAGAGTTTTTTCAAGCTCAGAAAGCTGCGAGCTCTTTAATCGCGCAAAATCGACTAGACTTTTCAGCCTAAGAGTTTTTTCAAGCTTGGAAAGCCGCGAGCTCTTCAGCCGCACAAAATTGACTAGGCTTTTCAGTCTAAGAGTTTTTTCAGGCTCGGAAGAGAGCTTTTCAGCTCAGAAAGCCATGAGCTCTTCAACCGAGCAAAATCGACTAGGCTTCTCAGCCTAAGAGTTTTTTCAAGCTCAAAAGGGAGTTTCTCGACTTGAAAACTGCGAGCTCTTCAGCCGCGTAAAATTCGACTAGGCTATTCAAACTACGAGCTTTTTTAACCTCGAAAGATAACTTTTTAGCTAGAAAAAGCTTCTCAGCTTGGTAAAAGAGCTTTTTCAGCGAGAGTTTCCGAAAGAGATCAAAGCCAAACAGTTAGAATCAACAAAGTAAAATTCAGGCAATAAAAGGAAAGAGACAATTTGTATTCATAGGCAAAGTAGTTACTTTGGAAGAGGAGTACAAAACAAGAGAAAATTTAAGCCTCCCCAGCATTCTATTTTAGAATAGAAACCTCCTCTGTCAAACGGGCATTCTCGGCCCTTAGCTCATCTTGCTCTTTCTCAACCATGAAAAATTGTTTCTCGAGACTTGCCTTCCCCATCAAAAACTCCAACTCAACAATTGTAAGCCCCATCTCACTGGAAATGAATCTGATGATCACGACGATAAGACGCCACGTCGGCGCTTCAGCGAGGAAGTGGCAGCATCTCACACGACCTTCTTGGAAAGGAGTCTACATTGAGGAAGAGGGGAGGATCAGGAACAATAGTTGGAAGGACGGTTGGGTTGGGACCAATCTCAAATCGAAAAAGATTCTGAACTATAATAAGCGAGGAGAAGGGAGCCGCCTTGGCGACAGCAAGCTGACAAACCCTGCTAAGCTCGTTTAGGGTCAGACTGTGGCCATCTACACAATACAACCACGATTAAGACTGCATAAAAACTACCAAGCATAGACCTCCCCCCCAGGGCAAAAAAGAAATCCCCAAGGACCTTTATTCGTTTACCTTTGTATAAAAGACGTCCCCAAGAACGGGGAACCTAGGCAAGCTCAGTCTGTGCCTCGAAGGATTCCCAAGAATCCCTAAAAACAAAGAAAAAACGTTGGGTTCATCCCTCTGGTGGGCTAGGGACATCAAGAACGAGTGAAAGCTCAAAGCCACGCCTCCATTTAAAGCGACTAAAATAGGGGCGCATATCAAAGTCGATGCTAAAAAAATACAGGAACTCGACAATGGGGAAAAAATCATCGTAACCTTGCAAACTCTAGAAGATGAAAAAACTGATAAGAGTACCCCACCCCTCAGGGGAGAGTCAAGAAGGGCACAACCCGAAATGGGCAAGAACTCGCACCAATGGCCAGATGGATGGGCAAACGTAGACCCATCTCAAACGTGTTTTCAAAGAAACAAACTTCCCAACGAAGGAGGAAGTTGCAAGGCTCGTCTATCGAAGGAATCCAGATAGTCAAGGCATTAGAAAGGTGATACAGTTTTCTGAACTCTTTTGCCTCCGGAGCAGTAAAGATGGAGGGAAGCCGAAACACTAAGTACCAGGTTACATCGAGCATAGCTTGAGCCCTCTGTTTGAACAAAGGAGTAGGAGAGGAAGCGAGAGACTCTTCAGAAAAATCAGAAATGCAGGAGAGAAGAGACTCAAAGGTATAGGGAGGTAGACAACTGGCGAAGGTGGGCAAGCGACTGTTACACTTCTGCAATCATGGCAGAAGTTAATGAAGACGGCGCACATGGAGGTTAAACAAAGTTAGGTGGGCACGAATAACGAACAAGTTATTGCTCTTCATCTGAATCTGTACACCACAATTTAAAGACATACTATATTAATGGAAAGGAATAGCCAAGCAGAGCTAGCAAATAGCCAAAGTGCCCGGATGCACACAACTCGCAATTACACAGCACGGGATTGTGGAGATCGAGCATAAGGGGCAAAGTAGCAACCATACTCCAATAAGGTCAATACCTCCTTGGAGTAGAGGGCAAGGGGAGAACACAACAAGCAATCAACAATATAAGAAACAAGTTAAGTGTTATTCATTCCACTAAATAAGAAGAGTTACACTTTCAAAAAAAAAGAAGAAAACAAACAAAAACCATCAAGGTTGGCTGGCTGGTGAAACAACATTAGAATGGTTGCTAGGAGGAAGGTCAAACTGAGACTTAAATTGATCGAGGTCAAGGTCAGGAAACTGCTCGATCGCCTAATCTGCGAAGTTAAAGAACCCATCTACAAATGCCTTGGTGGCATCCATCCTGGCCTTCTCAATTTCCTTTCGTTGCTCCTCGACCAACCGGCACTAAGCAGCTAAAGAGTAATTTAGGTCGGCAATCACAGCACGAGATTCTCTCAGTTGCACTGTCAAAATTGCCTTGTCGATTTTAAAGGAGATCAACTCGTTTGCTTGGGCATCGAAATCCTACTACAAAGAGGTCAATTCTTCCGATTGGGTTCTCAGTTGTTCCCGCAAAGAGGTCCCGGAAGTGGCAGTGGTGGTCAGCTATCGAAAAACTCAAGCTCTTTGATCGAGAGTAACTTCCAGCTCGGATTCTGTAGCTAAACCCCAGCGCAGGAGCTCGACATTTCGTTGTCGGGCCTCTTGAAGCTCAGCACTCCTCTGACGAGCTTCCTCCCTTAGATGGTGGACCTCTCCTCCAAAGGCACAGACGTGCGTTATCGCCTGAGGCCAAAGAAGGAAATTAAAGCACTACAAAATTGAAACAAGGAAAGTCAAAGAAAAAGACGAACCCTACCTTGAGAAGTGCATGGAGGGCATCTCAACTCCTAGATCAGAAAGGTCGACTAACAGAGCAACGAAGATATACCTGGGGATCAATTTTATAAGCGCTCGATTGCTTAAAGTCACATCGTCCAATAGGCTCCCCTCAAGGTCAACATATGGACCCGGCGTAGCTTGATCCGAGCTGGGACCCACTACCCTAGCAAGGGAAGAACCACGCCAAACTAGCATCTCCTGCCGGGTTGCATGCAACTATGCCCAATGTTGCTTCTTCAGCACTAGATATTGGCTCAAACATCGGCACTTCTTCAACGATGGGCATAGGTTCAAAAACTGACGCTTCAACATCACCGGGTAATGCCTCAGGCGTGGGAGGGAAACTCGGTGTTGGTAAGGCCATTGATGCCTCGGTAATGGTATTTGGAACCTCAGGCTCAACAACTGAGCTCGAGGCTGGGATCAAGTTGTCCTTTGCTAGTCTAACCCTCTTCGCCAAAGATCTTGGGCCCCGAGCTCATCTCCTCTGGCACACCTATTCCATGATCGCATCTCTTTGGTTGGTCAGGTACGCAAGAACTGAACAAGAAAGGCAGTGAGGAAGTAAGCTTGGTTGAACACATCAAAAATAGAATAGTAAGGAAAGAACAACAAATACTCACGATTGCTCGGGATGGAAGTAAGTTTGGGATGCAATAGCTCAGTATAAGAAAAGGGCAACCGAGCTCGAACATGGTTAACCCGAGCTTGTGTCTCGCAAGTCAAGATCGGGTACTCACCTACAACACAAAAGAATAGTGCCATAAGCCAAGTTAGACGCCAACAAGCCTGGTAGGACCAGATTAATAAAGAAAAAACTCATCAAGCCAGGAAAACTCACCAAGGTGACCACGCCTCCCCCAAACTGTGGGAATTCTGACCAGTGACATTATCTGGGGCTCAAACTCCCAGCCTGTCCCAGATATGAAAAAATATCTCCTCCTCCACCCTTTAGGCTCAGGAGGGAGGTTAATAATTGAGATCTCTCCATCTCGTCCTGGAGCAAAGTAATAAAATTCAGACAGTTCCACCGGACGAAAGAAGTTAAGAAACTCTGCAAGGGTCGCTCGAGGATGAGTAAACATCTGCTCCCACAACATAGGGAACGCCAGCAAAATAGTCCACCCAGCTGAAAGTAACATAGCAGAGCAAAAGTCAAAGAAATGCAACACTTCCCTTGCAAATGGAGGAATAAAGAACCGTAGCCCTAGCTAGAAAGGGACTTCAAAAAAGCAGACCCAACCTCTCATGGAAAAATGGTATAAGTTGTGTTCTGCAGCACGAATGACTACCCCACTGAAAAAGGCATAACGATTAGCAATCGTTGAACCTCTTCACTACCGATTTCACTATTTTCGATGTCGGGTTAGACCAATTGCTAGGTGTCATGGTAAGTAGTGAGTGTTCGTGCCATAAAGATAGAGGAAGAAACAAGTTGCAAAAAATGAGCTTTGAAGCAGAAATCAAGAGCAAGAAAAAGAAAGAAACTTTAGCACCAAGGTGGAAGATTCATCCACTGAGGGGACTATTTATAAGGACTTCTAGCCGACGCATATCACATCCGCAGGGTGCCATTAATGCATATAAATCGCGTTTAATGTCATTGACACGTGATCGTCGTAGAGGAAGTGGGCGCTACTTTCAAGGAGCTACTATCATCAATGATGGCCCACGTTCCCAACTGATCAAAAATCGTCAAGTTTGCAGTATACGAAAAGGAATGAAAAAAAGTCTAAAATAGCCTCAGCAAGCAAGATAGCCCCAAACAACTGAAACCATCTCGGTAAAGAGGGAGCTTAACTCGAGGCACCTAGGTCGCAACGCAGCATGAAATAGGCTTTGTTGACCATTACTTTTAAAAGAAATAGAAAATAGAAACGACATACACATGCAAGGAAAAAAAAGTGGGTAGGCAAGAAAGAATACTAAAGCTTCATTAAAAACTAAGAAAGTACATTGAAAAGAGAGCGACAAGTACAGAAGTTTTGTTACAAGCAAAGGAAAGTCAGTCAAAAGAAAAGTCACACCGTAGGCTCTCTGCTCTCATTAGCTGCACCAGCAACGGTCTCTTTGCTTGCACCAACTTCCTTGGCCCTAAACACCTCGGTCCCAATTGCCTCAACACCGACCTACTTGCCCCTCTCCATAGGTCCAGTTGAGGTTCCCTCGCCAACACTGGCTACGTCAGTAGTGGCCCCAATAGTCACTTCCGCTATTTTTTTTGGCCCAAGTTGTGACACGAAGGAATCCAAATCGAGATCGGGATACACATTCTCAACTTGCTCTTGAAAGTTCATGAACCCCTTCACAAAGGCAGTAGCAGTTTTCTTTAGGAGTTCAACGACCATAGCCTTAAGAGATGCCACTTTGGCGTTCGACGCCACCAGCTCGACGTTCTTCTTCGCTAGCTATTTGTTCCTGATCTTCAACTGGTCATCCTTCAACTTGGCAGATTCTTGGTAACAAGTATTCAACTCCTCGTAAATCCTCTTCAGCTCGGCTACCTCGGTAACCAGGACAGCCACCTTTCCTTCAGCAAGGCTTTTTCTTGTTTCTGCAGCCTCAGAAATGTTCCTCGCCTTGACCAGCTCCTGCTCCTTGGCAGTCAACTGAGGCATAAGCCGAACATGGTGAAATTCTATCATTTTCATACACGCCAGTGACTGAAGAGAGAGATAGGAGTCAATACAAGCAAGAGATGAAAATACGCCAGAAGAAACGCTCACATAAAAGAAGAAATCATAAGGTACCTCAGCCAAGCCCTGGATGACATGCTTAGTCTTCTTCTCAAAGGGAACTCGCTTGGCCAGATTAGAATCCGACTTGGGGACTAGCTCAGCCAGAGCATTCACGGTGGCCTTGGGATCACGGAGGATCCCACTACCTTGAACAGTTGGCTGAGGTAGTATGGGTTACCTCCTCACTTCCTTTGGCAGAGTCAGTTGGGGAAAAACAGGAGGCCCACTGATGGAGGGGGCTGCTCTAGGGATATCACCTTCTTTGTGGGTTCGGGGGGCATAGAGGAGGAGACAACAACCTCGAGAGAGACCAGATCCTCGCGTTTTTGCTCCAAAGAAGTCAACACCTGCCCTTCCTTTGGGGGTAACTTAGAGCTCTTCACTAGCCTCCTCCTCTTTTTCCTCGTCTTCTCGGCATCAGAAAAAGCCGTCATAATAAGGTCAGGATCCATCTGCTCAGGCAAGTCAGAAGGCAAGGGATCAGAAATATGAGCGGGAGGCACATTGACTGGGGGCCTAAGCTCGTGCCAAGATTCTCCTCGGTTACAAGGTCCAGAAAAGATCTCAAGCCAGAAGCTTCTACCTTGCCTACCCTGGTAGCTTCCTCGGCGTCGAGAGCCAGACAAAAACCTGCAGACAAAATCAAGCGTTAGAATAACGATCAAATGTTAGAGTTCTAGCTAGCAAGTGTAAGGAAAAGCATGACCAATTATTATTCTTACGAGTATTCCTTGGGACTCCCAAGACCGAGGGATGCGAGGGACATCGCCAGGTACTCTTGATAGTTCTCAAAAATCACCTTCAACGAAGAAATACTTCGGCTTCCACCCCTTGTTAGAGGACGGGAGCTCAAAAATTAGACTCTTCGTCTTCACCCTCTTAGTAAAATATAGGAAACTCAATGAAGGAGAAGACTTAAGCTAGAAAATGGAGGCGAACTCACGAACAGTAGGTGGAGAGTCGTTTCTGCACTCAAACTAGTGAATAAGGAAGCTGACCAATAAACCCCAGCCAATTGGAGACAATCGAGTTGGACAGATAATGTAAAAGACTAGAATATCTCGAATAAAGGGATGAACAAGAAACCGAAGGCCAGCGCAGAAGGCCGACTCAAAGAAGCAGGTCATCCCAGGAAGGTTAGAGTTGCACCTCTCATTCTCCTCGGGAGAATGGGGGTGAAATAGACGCAGAAAAGGAATGTTCTTCCCTCAAATTTGCCAAATCCTCCCCATCAAGATGACTCAGGGTCAACTCAACACAACATGTGAGGTCGGAGAGGTCAAGACGGGTCTTTATCTTTTTAAGGGCAGAGGTAGAGGCACCCTTAGATCTTTTCTTCCTAAGACGACCAAAGAGAATGGGGGGCAACGCTAAAGGAGTCTCCTTAGAAGAAACCAAGGTCGAAACCTCGAGACCCAGCTCTGAGGTCTCCTAAGCCGGCTCCCTCGGAAGGAACTCGAAATTCTCTACAAAAGACATAGAAAATTGGTCATCACCAACTAAAATATCGCCAGTGGCGGGTACCCCCTCCCATCAATGTGAGATGATGCCCCCTCCTCGGAATGGCCACTAGAAGAAGACGACAGGACTTCCTCATCACCTTCATCCTTATATTCGAAGTCAAAAACCACCCTCCTTATTATCGGCCCAAATTAAAGCTCAGAGTGTAAAGAAGGCAGATGCAAAGCACAATCCGTTAAGAACAAGGGAGTCCTAAGTAAAGATAACTTTAGTAATAGTGGATGATCTACGAATTGAGAAAGGAAGACAAAATTACCAGAGTAATTTCGAAAATAACTAAATCTCCAAATAAGGAAATGAAACCCGAAACCCCACCAGGGAGGGTTAAAGGGATCCAGATCAAAGAAAGAGAAGGAAAAAAGAAGAAACGTACCTAACTAGAAGCTAGAGTTAGAATGCAAAAGAACGAAAAACTTAGGACCCCTGAGTCACCGAGAACTTAGAACAGTTGCTTCAAAAACTAGGAAAATGAAGAGGAAGTGCGAGAAAGAAGAGATCAAAATGCAAATAGGAGATATCAATAGTTTCTTTACCCTTTTATACGTAGCATATATTACCACGATGGAAGGTGGAGAAAAATGTGCAAAAAATTCATTTTATGAGATCATCCCACAGACAGCACGTGTCCCCACTCAAGCACATCTATCCCATTGAAGCCGACATGGATCAATCAAACACGTCCTAAGACAGCACTGATGATCAGGTGAAACCGTCATCCGTGGAAACAATCATAGCCCTGGAAAAGACTTATTTAACCCCAGGCCAGAGCTTGACATCATCCTCGTGACCTGGGGCTAAAGAACAATTGATAACGGTAGAATTTTAGAGTGGACTGTCCATCCTAAACCCAAAACATCTACTGGGTCCAACAGTTACATAACAGCCCAAGAAACTCTTCTACAACCCATCTGCTCCGCAATAATGAATGGATCATAATCTAAAAAAAAGAGTCCAACAAAGAGTCCAGATCATCACAACCTTGCCCGATTTTAACGAGTTCAACAATAAACAGCCCGAGATCAAAGAACTCAATATCGCACCACATGTCCAAGGGACAATTTCTAAAACCTCTTACGAACGTGTACTATTTGTGCACATTCTATTGAAGGACCGTGGATATGGCTAATGTCAGAGTAACGATCACCATTACAAAACAAAATAGAGACCACAGAATCAACCAAAAAAAAGAAAGATCACAAAAAACCCTAGATAACCCTTTGTATAAATAAAACACCAGGACACTACGTAAAATCTCTCTAAAAAACCTCTACTCACAAGGTATTGTTCAATAAAGCTCCAAGTTAAGAAACTCGTTGTAATCTTCTTCTTTAAGTAATATAAATCCTACGCAACAAGAACCTCCACTACAATAGACAGTCTTGATCTTTTGGCCAATATGAACCATTTATATATTATCTTTGATATAATATTTCTCTCCTATTAGCTTAGAATATTCACACTACCTTCCCCCATTTTGCAAAACATTAACCTGGACTGGTGTTTTCGAGCATCATCAAGAACAAAGCCATATAGTCATTCTTTGATGCCATTACCCTTAATCGAGATGAAATTCTTTGATGCCATTACTCTTCTAAACACGATATGCGCGTACACGAGCAATTCATAGCTCCAGTATTTGCCCTTTCACCAGCTAGTGAGGTCTCAAAGAGCTCCCTACCAGCAAAGGATTGATCCGTCAAAATGCTGGGGATCAATACATGTCATACTTCTCTAGCGAGAGACATCAAGCCAATCTTAAAAAAAAATTAGGAAAAAAAAAAACCCAGCTATACATGACTTAAAGAAATAAAGATGTAATCTCGCCACACAGTCAATCTCCAGAAGCCTCTAATTCAAACTCGCTCAGCTTCCACCAAATATCTTCAGTAAAATAACGTACAGAGAACAAAAAATGAAAAAATGGGTACTAGGAAATCTAACTCAGCACCTCTACAACCTGCAACATAGAATAACAAATGCACCAACTTAGTACAATTCAATAAAGTTCTTGCACTGAAAAATATTAATCGGCAATCTACATAATCTTTGTTGAAAAGCACTGAAGCAGAGTTGCAGATGACATTACTGCCTATTTACATGTTGGTTGCTACAGTTAAATCAGCTCTGTAAATTTTTTGTTGAGCCATTGGATGTCCCATGGAAATGAAAATATCCATTTGTCCTGCATCACGCTAGTTTTCTTTTTCTTCTTGAATGGCCCATATTTTATTTCACTTCATTTATGGCACCACAAAAATCATCCAGAATGGAACAACTAGGAATCAAGAAAAACAAATCATTGCAGGATAATTAGGCATAAAACGCCATTTCTCCTTGAGACCCCAAAAACGATGCAAAGCATTTGAAAAACATTTCAAACGGAAAACTACTTCATTGGAATGGAAAACAAGGAACAATTAAAACTGCTATGCAGCAACACTTATTTCAGTCACACAGAACATTTCTAAACCCACCACCTCTCAAGGAAGCACTTCATTTCTTTTGTATTGGCTAATATTTGGGAGAAGACATCCTAGCAAGTTAATTTTATCAGTAATGTGACATAGCAGCTTCTTAGCATTATCAAATGCATTAGTTCCTCACCATATCACAAACCTTATTATTTTATACCATCACTTTCTGCATTGTATTGCATTTTTAATTTGGAAGCCACATTGATCATGTTACAGCATGCCACCTTGATCACTTTCTTCATTTTGTTTCTATTTTCTTTTTAAGGTGGGAGCCATATGGATTGAGTTGCAGAAGGAATCAAAGACATTTACAAAAGCTGGACAGTGATACGCACCAGGGTTTCCCAAAGTCTGTGATGTTGGTAGTGCAGGCAATGACATCTCTGTGAATTGTCATAGAGTTCATTAGTGCAGGGTTGCCAAGCACAGCATTTATAGATCTGCAGTTTATTCTATTGCTCACTACTTATTGATATATTTCTTTCCAACTACATACCAGGCGCACACAGAGACAAGGATGACATAGAAGATGACAAAGGCCATGGCGCTGCAATATTGTCACTCAAGTCACAAATAAAGCTGTAGCCGGTTGAATTGTCATATACCACATCTGCAGGCAAGCTTCGAAGCAGACACCCTACATTTATAACAAATACTTATCAGTATTACTACATTATATTTTCACAATACTGAAGAGCTGGCATTCTCAATATCTTTACAGACTCAAAACAGGATAAAGAAGCAGAATATAAGAACCTTGTTGTCCATTTGCTGCTACGAAGCCAACAGACAGATCGGCAAAACAGAAAGAAAACACGACATCAGATAAAATGAGCATTGAAAAGAAGATTAATGATAGAAACTATAATAGGAAAATTTACCTTGTAGACTAAAATCTTTCAAGTCAACATCACAAAGCTCATAAACATTTGTCATAACCCCACCCTTCTGTAGCATGGAACCAAATACTGTAGCGCATAGTATCGCTTGTCTATTCGTAATTAACATTTGCTTCTGTATACCAGCAATGTAGGTATTTAATGAGCTACAACATGAAGGACTGGGAGCAGCTACATTACGGCATGCTTTAATCACTTCTGATGGCTGCTTAAATTCCAAAGGACAAACTGCATGTCCAAAATGCAACTATTCATAAGACAGCCAACAAATACCATAATACTTACCAGAATAGGAAGATGTGCACTTCAATGACCCAGTCATATGCCTCTCAGATAGATTTATATCCAATTCTTTAAGCTTAACCATGCTAAATGGATGGTAAAGAAAATTACATAAAACTGATAATGTGTCTCTTTTTGTTTTTATGATGCAGAACATGGTTCTTTGGTTCTCGAACTTGCTAATTTTTTACGTGAGATCGGAAATGAATATGATTGTGGAGGACTTCAATGCATATTTACATAAGAGTCCGGAAGCTTAATGCTTGAAGTAGTTTGCTGTGCTTCAACTGTTAAGAGGTTTAATAAAGTATCACTTAAAAGTCATTTGAACGAGCATTTAACTAAATCGCATATACTGTTAAACATAAGACTAGTAAACCCCATGCACATGGGTGTCTCTTTGCTGATCAGTATGCAGATAACAATGTAAAATGCTCAGGGAGAGAGCACATAAATGGTTGATATAGAGGAGAAGAAAAAATATATTACTGAATCAACTACCTAAGGAGGTCTACTGCAAAAGCCTTATCTTTTTACAGGAGAAAACAGTACTTAGATAGTGCTTGAGACACTATAACGTAGAGAGTTCATTTTTTTTTTCCTGTTCTAAGTTAAAATTTCAAAAAAAAAAAAGCATAGGATACTTCAAAACCACATGGGGAAAGTTGTTTTATAAGATTGATCTTATAGGGGTAGGGGGAAGAATACCGATCACTTACTTAATGAAGGTCCACTGAAAATGCCTTATCTTTTTTCCAAAGGATTTAACAACACTACTGATATAGTGCTAGAAAGACTATAACAACATAAAGGTTTTACTTCTTTTTTTTCTGCTCTAAGTTGCAATTCAAAAAAACATATAGGATCCTTGACAACCATATGATGAAAGTTAAGTAACTTATGTTAAAAGTTTGATGTAATATGGCCTATCAGCCATATTTTCTAAATTTACATCAGTCGGACTCAGAATGCCAATCGTTCTAGATGACCTAGAAGAGAATGCTTTTGGGACAAGTTGCCTAAACTTCTCTCTGGGAACATCCTGGGGACACCAACCTCCTTCAAAAAATGGAGCATCCATTACCACATCTAAGCGAGTAAGACAAGTTCACTATAAAACCAGGGGAAGGGTCTCATTAATTTGATATAATTGAGTTTCAATAGTACCATCAATTTTAGGTTGTCAATTTTGCATCAGCGCCCTGATTTGTGCCCTTAAATATGGAGCTGTTTCTACTTGAGAGCTAAAAATGCTTTTTAAATCCTCCTTTTCTGTGCAATAACAACCTATGTTAGGAGATCAGCTTCTGCTTCATTGTCCCTTGTGAAAAAAATCATGGCAATAATTCAATAATCCTCCTAACAATGTTCTTGTTAGAACATGAAATGTGCATTTTTTTTCGATAAGAAACGATGATAACATGAACTAAAAAAAGAGAGTCAAAGGTGGACAAGACGTCCAAACCAAAGACAAGTCGAAGCAAAGAAAATACAATATAAAGACACCAAAAGTACATTGTGCAAGAAGCGTCCAATTCGAGATGATGCATGAAATGTGCACGTATTAACAAATTACAATAACAAATATGCTATTTCTTCTTCTCTACACCACAAGAGATGCTCCAAGAACTAGTATATGAACAATCACATATGCCATAAAAATTGAAGCATTCAAGATATGAGCTATGGTATCTTTTTTCCCCAAGGTAATATGAGCCATGATGTCAAATCTGGCAATGGGGATGCAACTGAAACGTACAACAATTTTGGCAAGATGCTGACAAGCAAAGAGGAAATGCAACCAAAATTGTCTGAAATTTAAGCCCTCTGAGATTTGAAGATGTTAAGAGATGTCTATTAGGGGTATTTATGTACTTTTGAGTCTTATTATTATAAATACATGAGGCTAAAGGAAATAACCTAATTCTCTCATTAGCTCTCACTATTGTCATAAATGTATTCACTTTCTCTCTACTTTCTTCTCCTCTATCTTCCATAATTTAATTGAAGATTTGCAAATATATTACAACATGCATAAAGTGTCATTATCCAGTTTTCTCCCAGTAATCAAGGATTAGACTAGGAACAAACCTACTTCTGTTATTATTTACACAAAGTAGCTACCTTCAAACTCAAACCCACAAACGTCATGGTTGTTAGTCCAATTCCTTTACCAGTGCACTAGGCAATATCCCCTATCACAACATTCATATTATTTTACAAGGAAAACTTACCTTTGTTAACTTTGCAAGCAGATAATATTCGGAAAGCAGTATTAGCAGCATCAAATGAGAGTGTCCTAGAAAGCCATGAATACACCACTCCTTTACAATCATTTAAAGTGTCAATATGAGTAGGCCCTCCAATTAGGTCTTTGTTATCGTTGATCATGGATTGCATGCCTGAGATCTGAAGTGCAGCCTCCATAATTGCAGGCTGGCAAATTGGTCTGCAACACTCTTTAAGAGGATCAACAGTGCTGCAAGCCTCCAATAATTTGCTTGTGTTTACTATTTTTTCAAAACTGGTTATATCCTTCACAGGACAAGCACCACCAGTAAGATTTGATGATTTTATAGAGCAGATAGTAGGTATTGAGCTGTTTGCTCCTCTGCTGGATAATATACTGATGATATCTTTAAAACAATCATCAGCCACCGCATTTTGCAAAACTAATTTATCAGAACTGGTGCTGTAGAATCCCTGGAATACGCGGAGTAAACTACCGACTTGTGGGCAACATATTACATTTCCTACTTGTGCAGCTAAAAGTTCACAACAATCCGATGCTGTTTTCTCCATGAGCATTGAAATGGCAGAAAAATTTACAGGACATCTTCCGGTCAAGACAGGATTATAGGTGGTTGGAAAGGAAGGATACATTGGTGGAAAAGTTTCACCTGGAAAAGGAAAGTGTGGAAAAACAGAAGGAGATATTTCTATTGGTTCAAAGAATCCAGTAGTAGGAGGGCTAGCTAGCTCAGAAGTGGAAGAGATATGGCTAGTCCCTGGGGGCATATGCAATGCCTCTACGTTTTGGAAACTGGACAACCAGACAGTAAACAACAAGAACTGGTGGCACAAAAGTCCTGCAACCACAAACAAACATGCCTTCAACACTCGGTTCATGTTATTGATTGTATGAATACCCTATAAATCTAACTGAAATACACGCATGTGAAGTTGTGCATATGTGAGGAAGAGGAAGGAGGATGTCATGCAGATTGTTCTTACTCCAAAATACAATAATTCAAGGCAGGCAACTTGCAGTTGAAACAAAATTAAAATAAAATATTACCAACAGCAAAATTAGACAGAGTTTCTCTTGGAAATCCAAAACCAACAATTCTAAAGTAGAATAACTATATAAAGAAACCAACATCTACCCTAAATGCAACTACATCTTTCCATTTCTTGACAGAATTTAGCACACTTGTGTCTTAAAAACAATGCCTGCTCATTTAGTTTTCTTTGAAGCACTCCATCGGTTTCCTCACTTTGTATTCTTCATTTTTACCAATTTCACAATAAAAATCATACTGCTATCTATATAACAAGACCAATCTACTACAAAAGATGAGTCAAAAGGAATAATTGAAGAAAAAATCACCCTCAAAATTCACGGTGGCCTCTGTGTCATAACATAATAACTATAACATGATTGACTACAAGTGAGGAACTTGCCAAAAAAGAAGACATCAAGTAGGAAAATAAAACAACAAATGATGAGATAGAACACAACTATAAATGAGTTAGCTAGCGTCAATCAGACCCACCACAAGACAACCTGGTTCAGTCCTGTAACAAAAGTGACAGCATGCTGTAGAGCCTACCCCTCCACCTTCTTCTTCAATACAGGAATAAAAAATATACCACAACCTTGTGCTACTCAGATCTGAATATAGTTGATCATGTTACAGATTGCTTTTGGGGGAATTCAAAAAAAAAAAAAAAAAGAAGAAAAACATATTAGTTTTTCACTCTTATTGCTTACTTATCTGACTAATGAGACCTGGACGGGCATTTATTGACATGAATGTTGTTTCCAAAAAGAGTGTAAAGGGGCCCTCCTCACCACTCCCCTTTCCATTATCATGGAAGCAACCAAAAGTCTCACCATGACAAGGGCCACTGCGAAAGAAAGGCCCCTTCATTTTAGCAGGAAATGCATAGCAATAAGAATTAATTCTTAAAGAATTCATAAGTTGCCACATATCCTTAATCCTCATGGCAAGATAGTCAAGTGGCAGAAGGAGAATGGAATGAAATACATTTGAAAGCACAATACAATGCAAATTCTAAAAAACTATAGACGAGAATGTGTCCAATAAAGAACTAGTCAACAAGTTGTCAGCCTCAAAAATACTATAAGAAACAGCTAAGGTCATCACAGGTAAGTAACTAAAAGTTCAAAGAGGGTCTAAAATACCCAAGTTTTTTGCCAAACTAACAGTATTTTCCAAAATAATTCCCAAGTTAACACCCTTTTGAAATTTATTCCCCTTTCAAAGCTGTAGGTGCCATTTGTGCCGCTGTCTATGGAAAGTGCATGAAAATAGCACTTTTCCTAAATTGATAGCTCTGTTTTCTTCACTTTCTTAAACCAAATTTCAAAATGACGAGAAAACTTCCACAACTACCAGACATCCAATTCCAGCAAACCCAACAATTGATAAATATAACATGTTGTTTACCAAATGCTATGGAATTCGGGTGAGTGAAATGATTCTAAACATTCATGCAGAACACAGAGCAAGTAGACAGTCACACCGAGCAAATAGGTACAAGGTCTTATCATTTACAGGAGAGTATATAAGATGGTGACAACAAATTTATTGACAGCAGTTGCTGGCTAAGAAGCACAAAAACGTATCCATGTCGGACATGGAACACCAATACTTCTCAAACACTCTTGAACATGTGTTTGATAGTGTTTTATCTGTATCCATAAGTAAACATAAAATCTTAAATAAGACACGTGCCGGACACTCCATTGGTCGTGTGCCAAAACATCTTTTAACCGTGTCTACAACTAGAATATGAATGTGTTGACCTATAATTAATGAAGCTTAAAAATTTGGCAAATGAATATTCCGAAAAGTGACAAATGAAATGACATATATTATGAAGAGTACATTATTGTTCATAGTAGTCATGGTAAAGTTGAACATAACATCAAAATAAAAACAAAGGAGGCATAAAAGTCTTGCTAAGAGGAATCGAGAAGATGGACACAATATTGATGATGATCGATCACTATGATCATTGTCCAAAAATTCAAACAAATTGACTAGATATAAGAGTTACTCATCATAAAGTATGGCATTTCTTACAGATAATACTATAACTATTCCTATATCTAGGACAAAATATATAATATGATATACAAAACATATTTATTTGTACGTGCCACTGGCATGTCCGTGTCTTGTTCCTACTGTTTTTTGTTTTGTGTCGTATCCGCGTAGGTGCTTCCTAGATTGCCGGTAAACTACACTCAATAAGAACACATGATTGAAAAAACATTATTCAAAAAAACAAAAAGAAATAAGCAATGTCAGGTCGGTCATGCACGATTTAGTACTAAAAAAGACATGAAATGATGATTTTGAAGTGGTATTAGAAACTGGATACCAACTACACCGTCAAGTAACCATTAAATGAAGTCCCCCAAAGCTCAAATTTTATAATTTCAACCTTAGAGAATAACCTTCAACATAAAGAAAGAAATAACACATGTTTGTGGCTTAGATTCAGCTAGTTTTTAGCTTGCCCACAGTCTAATATAAGCCAAATCTGAACAAATTCTTAGGCTCATTTTATATTTACGCTGAGCTCATGCTGAGCCCGAGCTATTTGCAAGCCTAAAACCTCGATTTTCACTTATATTTTTAATTGTTTCATGCAATACATATCTACAAATACTTAGGACTTTTAAGGGTATTTGTATCAAAAGATAGCTACCTTGACACATTCTTTTGTCAAGACCTACTTAACCACATTTAACAAGTATTTTTTTAGAAGAATTCAAAGCAATTCACGTGGTCTAGTCTCCAGACCAGTTCAAATAGTCCTCCCTCCCCCCCCTCCTTCTCTCTTCAGTAATTATTCTTGAGCCACAGCCACTGGCCATCTAGCCAACACAACCCATTACTGCTTTTCATTTTTCCTCCGGCCTTCTCCCTTCTCCCTCTCTCTCTCTCTCTCTCTCTCACTCTCTCACACACACACACACTTCTTTGTCTTGCAGAATGATTTGTGACTGAGCTGAAACATTTAACAAGTGTTTTTTTTTAGAAGAATTCAAAGCTTTTCACATGGTGCAGCCTCCAGACCAGTTCAAATAGTCCTCCCTCCCTCCCCCCCCCCTCTCTCTCTTCATTAATTATTCTTGAGCCACTACCACTGGTCATCTAGCCGACACAACCCGTTACCCCTTTTCACTTTTCCTTTGGCCTTCTCTCTCTCTCTCTCTATTGTTTCTCCGTCTTGCAGAATGATTTGTGACTGAGCTGAACAAGGTCACCATTACACCACCATCACCAGTCTTACAAAAGCATACAGGATTGAGTTCTATAAAGACTCCCTCTTGTTAGCTCCTTGCTTCGCTTAACAAGACTACCATAGCACCACCACCAACCTCTCAATCACCACACACAAAAGAAATCGTCTACTGTGGATCTTTCTCTTCTTACTAATAATTATGTGTTTGGTTTGATTTTATGTTTTTCTGGTTAACTTTGTGTTTGAATAGGCCCATTCTTTGTATTTTGTAATCATGTTAAATAAGTGTTTTAGACTGTTTGTAAGGATGTAAGGAAGAAAGAGACACACAAAACAGGGAAAAACAAAACTAAAATGTTTACAAGTCGGGCTCTTTTCAAAGCAACAATACAGATGTTCAAGTAGATGATTATAGTGGGAATTATTTCTAAAATAGTACTAGATTAGTGGATTATGAATTCTTTTTAGAAATAATGTTAGTTTGGTGAAAAGTTCCTTAGATACCATAGTGAACCAGCCATTAATATGCAGTGTCAAGAAGGGCAGTTAATTGCACGGAACTGATACTACGGGGTATGCAAGAGTTAAATGTATAAATAAAACCTTGTGTGCGGAGAGATTGTTTCCATAACTCAAACTCATGACGGTCAAATCATTGTTTAAAAGAGAAATAAAAAATTCATTCCAACAAGGTGATACACGCTGGGGAAAAATCAATACCCACATAATTACTTGCCATCTATATATGATCGGGGTAAAATAGAAGGCTTGCAAGAAGAAACTTGAGAGTGTCAATACTTTACCCTTAAGATGACTAACAGGCTTTACACAATCCATAGCTCTGCTAACCCTCTGGCGACATTGAGACTCACAAAAGAAACAACAGGGTAGTTGATGGTTTACCCAAAAGCCATTCAAGGAAACATACCAACGCCTGTACCAAGTTCAAACATCAGGGCAAACCCAAAGGGAAAAATAAACCCAGGCCATAGGGAAATGAATAAAAATTATAACGAAAAAAATAGCAGATCTCAGAAGTTCAAGAAATAAAAGTACTCCCCAGATGCATAATGAGGAATACAACGATGACACAATATGTATTTACTTACTACAGGCAGAGAAGTTCAAAAATGTTACTTTCCGGGGAAAAAATAAGTTCAAAAATATCCCATAAAAATCCCCTATCCCACCCTATCAAATTTCATAAGCCCTACTAAAATCTTATCTGATCCAGTGCTTCTCATGGTCAGTCACAGCAAATATGGGTAGCAGTAATTCGTCATAAGACTTACCTATATTCAATGAACCTGCTTCTACTTCCCTATTGGGCGATATAATGACTTACATACCAACATTTATAGCCGGCTAAAACATCCTGCTATGATATTACTAGAAATTTCTTTCTACCCAACAGAATATAAATACAAAATGATTGGTGCGGAAAACCACAAAAAATGAACTACATATATCGAGAAAGATGAGGGACGTACCAGTCGAAAACCAAAAATTTGGAGATCATTTGTCATTCAGGAATTCAAGGATTCAAATATAGAACACCCAGTTCATTTTGTGTCTTACAACACAGAAATTGTGGAGATTTCTGCCCACAAACGGGTATGTAGATGCTAAGGACAGAGAAAAACCCTAGAATCAGCTGAGTGAGAGAGAGAGTTGAGCTCAATGATGAAGTGGTGAGGAGAGTAACTTTACTCTTAGTCTTTGCCAGTGCAGCCAACCCACCTGATTTTGCCACGTCTTCATACGGTCCACTTGAGGGGTCCTACAAATAGCAATGCCATTACTGAAATGGATCAAAATTAGGCACCCGACCCAGACTGTTGGGCAGGACCATGAACTGGTAAAGTAGGAGTTGATTTGGGCCGCAGTTTAAAAACTTCAATTTTATCATCAATTTGAAATTGATTTTGGGTTCAACACCCCAAAAAAATAAGTGAAAATTAGAGCTAAATTCTCTTTAGACTTATAATGACTTGAATCTGTCAAGAAAATTTATTTGGTGATAAGTTCATTTTTTATCTCACTAATAAGTACTTAAATTCACTATTTTTTTAAATACCAAAAATACTCTTAACAGTGTTATTTTGTTCAATTATAAAAACATTAAAGATCTTGAAAGTAACTTTAAATTAATTTCTTAAATTAGAAATTATTATCCCTTAATTCACTCTTAAATTGAAATTGAAATTTATATTCTCTCTTTCGTTAGAAGAAGGTCGTCACTCTAGTACAATAAATATTTCTCCTAAGATATCATTTCTTCCTCCATAGTATCAAAATTAGTAGGGGTTGAAATATTATCAACAACTATCATATCTTCTATTGTGTTTTGATCATCATGAACTTCTATGTCATTGGTTTTCAAAAAAAAATTTGACAAACTTGTTTAAAGTATTATTAGTTTGATCTCCAATTTTATTTTTAGTTTTTTGATAAATAATCCCCAATTTTTTTTCAATTTTTCATATTACTACGTTTTTTGTTGACCATGTTACTATTTTTTTTCATGTTACTATTTTTTATTGAACATGTTATTACTTTTTCAGTATTACTCTTTTGGATGATAAAGAATTGAAGGTTTCTTCGTCTGGTTATGAGTTTAAATGCTACTATTTTTATTTTTAATTTTGTT